TGAAAAGGAATGGTGACAAGACTTATCCCTGACTCATTTGCTTCCTAATTTTTGAACCAAGAAGCATTTTCTGTTTCCTTGTTCAGTTCTAAGACTGCTTCCTGGTTTGAGTATAGTTTTTGCATGAGCACAATCAAGTGTTCAGAGATTACCATTCTCCTCAATGTTAGCCAAATTTGTTCTGATCCACATAGTCTAATCCTTTTGCATATTCAATGAAACAGAAATAGACATTCCTCTGGTTCTCTTTGCTTTCATCAAGATCTATCTGACATTAGCGATAATGTCTCTAGTGCCAAAAACTCTCCTAAACCCAGCTTATATTTCTAGTAGTGTTCTCTCAATATACTGTTCCAGTCTTTTTTTATAATGTTTAGCATGGTTTTGTTTGTGTGTGATATTAGTAATATTGCATTTCACGCTCTGTCAGATCACCTATTTTTGGAATGGGAACAAGCATGAATATTTTCCAGTTAGTTGGCCAGGTAGTTGTCCTTCAGATTTCTTGGCACAACCTGATGAGCATGTCCAGTGTGGCATTTGTCTGTTGAGATATGACTTTGGTATTCCATGACATTAGGGTGCCTCGTTTATTACCAATTCCTTCAGAGCAGCCTCTCGGCCCTATGTTGTTGCATGAATTTTTTCTGTGGCTGCCAATTCTTTTTGATAATTTGACTCTATACTCCTTCCATCTCCTTTTAATGCTTCCTGGATTATTCAAAATTCTGCCCATGGTGGTTGTGCTGTGTACTGTAAAGTCAGAACTGTCCTACAGCTGACCTTCTGGTGAATTTTCAGAGATGGTTGATTGCACACTGTGGGGGTGAGGGGGGTGGAGACTCATTGCCCATCCTCCCAACTAGCTACTGATGGCCTTAAAGTGCATGCCTTCAGGATTGCAGTACAGCATCTTGCCACAAGACCAGGAGAGCTCTGCCCATAGCATCCATAAGTATTTCAGCTTGAGGCTTAAATTTGTTCTTTGGTCCCTTCAGCTTAAGAAATGCCAAGTGATTTAGGCCCTTGTGATATTCAGACTCCAGCTCTTTGCACATTTCATATAATAGTTTGCTTTGCTTTCCTGAGCTGCCCTTTGAAATCTGTTCAACTCCTTAACTTCTTGGTTTCTTCTCTTTGCTTTGCATTCTTTGCACTTGAGTGCGATATTTATAGTCTCTTCTCACATTCATCTTGGGTTTTTTTAATTTCTCCTCTTTCTTTGAAATGACCTTTTTCATTCTCTGTGGATGATATTCCTGATATCCTCCCACAGCTCATCTGGTCTTCATTCAGTAGTGTTCAAGGCCTCAAATCAGTTCCTGAGATGGTTTTTAAATTCAATTGGAATAAACTTAAGATCACATTTTTGCTTTCGTGTATTTGATTTAACCTTCTATAACTTTAATCTGAACTTGCATATGAGTAGTGGGTTGTTCTACAGTGAACAACTAACCACACTGCTGATATTGAGCTTCTCCGATGATTCTTTACACGGATATAATTGATCTGATACCTGTTCACACCATCAGGGGAAATTTATGTGTATAGCCTACATTTATGTCTCTTATAAAAAGTATTTGCAATGAATAAATCATTGGTTGTACAGAATTCTATCCTTCTGTCTCTAGACTCATTTCTGTCACCAAGTCCATGTTTTTCAGCTACTGATCTTTCTTTCCTATTGCCAATTTTTGCCTTCCAGTCACTCATTATTATCAATGCATCTTAACGGCATGTTCGATTGATTTCTGAATCGAAAGTTGGTAGAACTCTTCTATTTTCTCCTCTTTGGCTCTGGTTGTTAGTGCCTGTGTTTGAATTAAAGTAGTGCTCACTGAATTTACTTGGATGTGTATGGATATTATCCTGTCACTCACCACATTGTATTTCATGATGGATCCAGAAATGACTTTCTAATTATGAAAGCAATTCCATTTCCCCCCACTTTTTCATCTCCAGCATAGTAGATCATATGATTATCTGACTCAGTTTGTCCCATACAAGTTCATCTCATTTCACCAATATCTAATATGCCACTATTTATCAGTTCCATTTCTTAACAATATCTACTTTTCCTACATTCATGCTTCTCATATTCCATGATCCAATCACTAGTGTCTGCTCAGAACTCTTCCTCCTCCTTTGTGTTTCAATTTTGAGGACTCAGCCTCATTTGCATATCTGCTAGTCTACTCTAAGTGTGCTCCATTGTACACAGGGTTTTTGAAGACCTGCTATTTCTGAAGGGTATGGCCAATTCTGTTTCCTAGTCTGTCTTAATTTGCACGCTCAAGTTTAGAACTGCATCTGACAGATAAACATATTATAGAAAGGAGCAGATGAAGGATATTTCCTAATTATAGCAGCAACCAAGAGTTTCAGTGTTGGTCTTCCACTCTTGGCACATGTGTCGTTACCCATCCCTTTCCCTGCTCCACCAGCGTCCTCCTCCATTCCCACCTACCCCTTTCAACACACTTCCCTCCACTTATCCATCCCTTGATCTGATGGCTTAGGTCTCAAGCCTTCTGTGCTTCTCTGATGCCTAACTTCTCACTTTGTTGCTGGTCTCTTACACTGTGGCCAGTCTCTCTTTTAAAAAGTTTAGGAGTTTCTAAGTAGGGTAATATTAAGGATAGATACAGACTTTTTTCTTTTACTACAGGTCTGACATAGGCTGTAGTTTTTCATGTTAATCATCTAAGTTATTATTAAAACACAGAACACGAATGTTTTTCTTTTTTTAATTATTTTAAAATAAGAACCAAAGAAAGCTCCTTAGACACTATGTTGAAAATTTTGAGAACAGGTTGCTAATTAATTGACGCAGGCACTGAATTTAGTGCCTGAAATTTCTTGCCAAGCATGTTTTAGGAATAAGCCATATACTTTTATGATTTTATTATGATAATATTCAGCATGAGACACTGGTCTCTTAGATTATAATGGAATCATTCTGTTTAATGTATATACTAATGAATGAACAAAACCAACATAATAATTAAAAATGAAAATGAGAATAATAATACAAAGTTCAGCCAATATATGTATTTTGATTATATAGGTGCATTTTCAACCTTAAGTTTAGTACCATATACATTGGGGATACTTCATCTTCCCTTCCTGACATTTTACTCTGAAAACGTCTCCGCGCTTTTTCGTATATCCCCGTTTACATTCAAATTCTGTAAAATCACCTGTCCTGGAATAAAGTTTCTTTTTATCTACCCATTTCAATTGTATGTTATGTTTGTCCATCTCTTCTTGTGATATTACACATGCATCTGAAAGTAGAAAAAAACCACAAAATATTATTAGTAACAAAAATTTGTTTTTACAATTGGAGAAGGTAGGAGAGGAATGCAAAATGAAACTCCAAATCATGACAATTTCCAGATGTAATAATTTCACATCACATGGTGGAAACCCAGAGAATATGGTATTTAACCACTCTTTGATCCTGGTATTTAATTTACTCCTGTACCATATCTTGGTGTGAAACAGTAGAAAGATTCATAAGATGAACTATAACACCAGGGACGTACTTGCACCTAAGAAAAACAAAGCATAGAGGATAACAAGGGACACCTATGTCAAAGAATGAAACTCAGAAGGTAGGAAGAGAGAAGATGAAATGATGAATGAAAATAAGAATCACAGAGAGATAGTGGAAAGAGTGATGCTGGGACTGTAACAAATGCCATTAAACAAGGTATATATGAAGGAGGAAAGACATGCCAACCTGCTCTGTAAACTCTTACTCTAATCATGAGCATGTGTGGGAACTAATGCATTCTTGCATACACACATACACCTTTTCATAGAATTTCAGTTTCAAACACAAAGCTTGGTGATGGCTAGCTCATCCTTTTAAAATCTTCTCCAGTTCTTTCTTCATAGATGGAAAAAGTTTACTGTTTCTAAGGTATTTCATACATTGCCATGTATAGTTAAATACTGTGGAAATACTAAGCCAAAACTAAACTGACTCATTTTCACCAAATTGATTTTGATATACTAAATAGATCCCATCTTTATATGTGACAGTACAGAATTACTTATAATCTTCTGAAGCAGACCATTAGACCTTTCTACTTAAATACTACTTGGTGAACTCAAGTCATTAGATTTCAGCTTAGCAAACCATTGACAATATTTTCTTTTTTTGCCACCCACAGGTATTTACACTGTTAAATGAGGGAAAAGTAACATACTAAACTTAATGTGTCAAAATGAGATGATATAATCAGAGGATCATAGCATAAATTATTACTGAAGAGTTTTATTAGCAGACTTGAGAAGAGGTGAAAAATTCTGGACTGTATTTTTCAGTGCCCCTAAATTCTTTGAGACATTCCCAGCTCACACAGAGAATTTATCTGCAAAGGTGAAAGAGATTCCTTTCATACAGTTTTGGGGAGAACCCAGGTACATTTCTAGCAGGGATAACTATTGTAGTAAGTCACACTGCAACCATTGTATGCAAGTAGCTCTTTTGTGCCAGGTTCAAATGTGCAGATGTTTGAAGAAGAGCAAAAACAGGTTTACTCATTCCTTGTACCCCAAGGCAAAGTGGGGATGTGGAGAATAGAATGTCCATCCCTAAAGACTCTGTTTATACCTCAATTCCGATGGCCTTGCCTGCTTGATAAGAAGAGCAAATAGCCTTGCTAGCAGGTGGCTCATAAATCAGAACAAATGTATTGTCGACCTTGAGGCTGAGTTGTTTTTCTATTCACTGAAAAAAAAAAAATAAGGTCTGGAAAGAATAAACTCGGGGCTACAGAATTTCTCTGTATGCCTCTCTTAACTCTTTCTCTTATGTAATATATTTCTTTGATCTGTGCTCCTCGTCACTCCAACTCTGTTCGTCTTGACTG